GGTTGTCAACAGATGATTTTTCTTACGAGAGCGCCCCTTCCTTCCTCTGGATGGTTATTTTAATGGTACTACAACACCGTTGTCATCACATTTTTGGTATCAGCGAAGGGAAGATGATTGTTCGAAGTCCTGTTTATTAGCCAACCATCGAACTGAATGTTGGACAGCTGACAAAATTGTGTTCGGAGCCCGTGCTCTGCAGTAAAATAGAGGGCAGCAGATGGAATGGTCTCCCTAAACTGCCTTAAACTAAATTTGTCAAAACGTCCATGCGCTTTTTGTTCTTTTCAACGGCATCGTGCCTCTTGCTTATCGGAGCATTGGGAAAATGACCTAAATCTGTCACATGAACTTGACGACTTGTTAGTCAACACATGGCACCGGGGATGACATTTACCATTAAAGTGCCCCGGTTAATTTTTTCCAGATTAGTCGAGATGCTTTACGAATCTGTGATGCATATCTTATTTATCATAACCAAGGACATGCGAAGAAATTTACTACTATGTCCAAATAGCCTAATAAGAGATTAGTTAAGGATGCGGTGGAGAAAAGATGAGATGTTTTTCGATGGCATGTAGAATAACCCCTAATCCGCGATCGCATAATTACGTGTCACCGAAGGAGGCGGTAATGGTAAGAAAACCTCGTGTCCTGCATAATCTACTGCTGTTTAGGTAAAAAGTTTACGCACTTGATAGCGTCCAGAAACGTAGCGTTATTGCTGCCGACTGCATTCGCTGCAACTTGATCCGTTTCATCTGTGCCCAAGCCTCTCGACAGGAATCGACCGGAGCAGGTGCGATGGAGTGCTGATAAGGTTTTGACGTCCGGCATCCTTCGCCAATTGTTCTGCTCATATGATGCTCGACCAAAAGCCTCAAACACGGATGTTTTTGGTGTGCAAAGCAGCACTACTTCGGATACATCAACTTTCCCGTCACAGTGATGGATCAATCACCATCCAACATCCAATAAGTGACTAAACTTGCCGATGAAACAGTGTTTTCTTTTTTTCAGGGAAAGATATTTTGGTCACAAAAATCTCCTAAAACGATCCTTATACTTGAAGCTTCAAGGAATCTCTTGGAGAAGCCGGCTGAATGCCATTTTGATGCGAGTCTACTAATAGTAATAATACCACTACAGCCTTTGATAACATAATTCGTTTCCGATTTTTTCGTTAACCTCACTTGTAGAAACATAATCGAAGGATTGCATGCGTTTGTACCAGACCGTTCACGGTTGGCTCGAGAAATTTTCGTAATTACTAAAGTCTAAGGACAAGTTTAAAAAAAGAGCAATTTAGGATGTGTTCCGTTTCCAGATTCTTTAGCCATTGGAATCGCTCCCTATGGACCTATGTTTGCCCGTGCAATCACTTGCATTTGTCTCCACAATGCTGATTATACACGTTCATGTCAAGCTTATTGAGTCTCCGCTTTTGAGAGATGCATGTTACTCCGTCCACGGATCTTTTGAACTCTGGCAATGTACTTCAATGGGGCCTCTCGTGAGCACAATGAACACCGTGTTTACATTCGACGCTTCGATGCCCCATTGCCTTTCAGGCCTTTCAGATACACGGCTTGAGCTGTTGCGCTACGGCAGTGAGCTTCACTGTTCGTCTCGAGATGCTAAAGCTCTTACTGTATCGTAGCATCTCCCAAGTTATTGCAACTGCAGGTGTTCACTTAACTAACCACCAAATACGCTGTTTGGTCTGTTGCATTATCATTAGCAATTTTTCATTATGCAATTTCTTATTGCTGCTCCTGGGAATGAGGTTATTTAGACTTCCTTTTAATTGCGTTTCTTTCACAAATATACCCGAACACAAAGTAGACTTGGAACCAAAGAATCGTCGAAGGATACAATGTACCTGGTGCTATGGGTGACTTTCGCCATGTGGCTGTTCGTCACCTCTTTCACGACACAACTGTCTTCTGATATTCTTATCTGGAATTATAAAGAGAAATTCATGTTTCAACTTTCTCAAGCGAAGATTTCTTGCTTCTGTTGTGAAACGGCTCCACTGCTTATGAGTCTAAGGTGCAAACTTGCGTTTGCGCGCGTCCGATTGGAATTCCTGTACATATGTGTTTCTGATAACTCTTATCCACGGGAGTTTTTGAAACGATTGCGCGTGAGCAAAATTCGTCCGACCGCGGCCAATCTTTAAAGGCTGACTCTAAGCCACAAAGCTACCTGCTTACATAAAATTGACCAGCTTAAGGAAATAGCTCAACATTACCTTTCATGATGTGATTCCTTGCCTATCGTGTGCAGAATCAAATTCGCTAACTTCTGCCACGACGTAATGAGAAAAATGGCATGTTTTACACCAATCAACTTCCGATGTACCGTTTCCAGTGAACCACAAATAGGCGATTTACGATCTGACTGTTCCAAGTTCGTTCATAATATGTCGTCGCTGTCACTCAACCGATTGCATATCGAAGCCTCCTTCCTCTGTCTTGGATTCAAAACTCCACCTCGTCATATACATTAAGCCTACTTTGATGCAAATTTTCAGAATTTATCTACTTACTTTGCTTTCCTGACCTCAATATCACTCAATAATAATGCTTGGTTAAAAAAACAAACTGGTGGACATATCGCATAATTTTTTCAACGCTTCAATACAGCAGCGAACATGTCTCACTACAAAGCGCTTCGTGAGCTGGAACGAATGAAAGATGTGGTTATTTTGAAATCTGACAAGGCCTCCGGAGTGGTCATTTTTGACAGACCAGATTATCTACTCAAGATAGGGACACTATTGTCGGATACCACAAAATTCAAGCCAGACACTGCTTTCGACAGAGTCCGGTTGGTCGAGAAGCAATTGTGTCGTGAATTACAGATCTTACTGCTCCATGGTTTCATCCCAGAGGATGAATATAAAGCGCTAAGATCAGTTGGTACCCAAACTCCACAAATGTATGGTTTACCAATGATGCATAAGGTGGGAGTACCCCTGCGGCCAATAATCTCCATGGTGAATTCACCTTATCAAGCCGTTGCAAAATGATTGAACTGCATGGTTGAGACTGTGAGAAGATCCCTTATAAAACACAGTCTATCGAACACCTTCGGAGCACTTCCTTGGTTGGAAGTCATAAACTTGGCCCACAAGCGCATTTGTTCCCTTGACGTGCAGTCGCTTTTCTCTACTACTCCGTTGTACGAGACTGTCGATCACCTATGTGGGTTTATCACAAAAATCAACCTTCGACTAGAGCTGCCCGCGGAAATGTTGCAAAACATACTCCTACTGTGTGCAAAGGATGTTAAGTTCTACTTTCAAGGAAAAATATATCGACAGATCGATGGTGTGGCTATGGACGTCCAATTGGTCCCCTTGTTGTCGGACGTATTTATGGGCATGATTGAAGAGGAAGTAGATATCATCAAATTCGTCACTTTATCTAAACGCTACATTAACAATGTACTATTAGTCGTGGATTTAGATGAAAACATTGCATTTGTAACCAACATACAATTGTGTACACCAGAATCTTAGTGTGACATGCAAAATAGCACGATATTTATCTCCCATACTTAGACATACTGCTCACACGACGACCAGGTGGTTTAATTTAGAGGACAGTCTACCGAAAAAGGACATGTACGGGTCAATACTTACGCTTTAGGAGCTTTCCGCCAATACACCACAAGCGCTCCTTAGTTCGAACTTTTTTCCATCGGGCTCATATGATTTGCACTACAGATACGTTGGACGCAGTGAATGAACTATTGTTTCAGGTGCTACAATCTAATGGTTATCCACTACAGTTCATAAAGCGTTACAGCGACACAGTGAAACGAGATCGAGAGATAACGATGCAAAATAAACTTCATGTAACTCATCGCGAGACGAATAAGCGCCTAAATGAAAAAAGGCATACCATGCAGCAGAGCTACGCATGTTTATATCCACAAGATCAGTACTTAAGTGTTCATTGAAGACATCGGTCTCGAAGCAGTGCACCTGTCGTTGTCTATACAAATTCACATGTAGCTGCGAAGACAGCTATGTTGGGCGCACTGGTCGAAATCTTGGTTTTCGGATCAACAATCACATTCCGAAATGGCTCCGCAAACGGATGGAACATGCGACGATTTCACCGGGTGAATCGAGTAGCAAGGTCGCCTCAGCAATTACGAGGCATTTGCTGAACACCGGTCACTATTTAAACCCGGATGAGTCATCCACAGCCATCCTGCGCAGCCGAGGGCCTAATGTTATCAAGCTTCTCGAGGCCATTGTTATCGATCGACAGCGCCCAACACTCTGTGTTCAAAAGCATCTGACTAACGCTATGCCTTCCGTGGTAGAAGTAACGCACTGTCGTAAATCAGTTGACCAACTATTGGACTTATGTGGTCTTAATTTGGTTTCTTTGTTATTTACATGTACGTGACCGATGAGAATGCACGAAATGACAATGTCATCCCACAACATTTGGGTTTATAACGGGCGGTTTATGTTTCAAATAACTGCATTTGTTGACTGCTTTAGAATTTATGATACCGTTTTACAGACTATGGTATGCCGTCCGTATTCTAAAGGTAACGAGCTCGTAGTCTGGCGGCGCTACTTCGAGCCTGCGTAGGGAGAGGGTGACCCTCGCAGTATCATTAGCCCACGTGCAACTGGTGGTGATTACGCGGCAGTGTAGCATCAGTACTGCTGACGACATTAGGCTGTAACTGATAGAATCTTGTATGATCTAGTCCAGCCAGCTCTGTCGTTGTCCCTTTTGTTATTTGACGCCTGTCTCCCTAGTCACAGTCTCCTATCCGTCTCTTCTGTATCTCACGATGTCAAACACTTTCTTCCTGTTCTGTTCTTTTAATTTCAACCATTATCCCCCTCCATTTTCTTCATTGATCGTTTGGAATTTTGTGCATCCTAACCCGGCAACGTCTCTCTTATACCTTCTGGAGGAAACGGACATTCAGCCTTTTTGTTTTTTTCTTCCTTTCTCTTCCAGGCACGTTGATGTCCACTGGTGCCGGGTGTCTCCTAAAAGTATATAATGAGTATGAAGACACATGTCTTAGAAAGCTTCAGTCAGATCCCCTCGGACCTTATGTTCCACGTTACCTAGGTGAACTTATCTTGAACGGAACACGTATCCTTTAATGAAATGCCTCTTTTCGATTGTTGTTAGCGAGCGACGTTTGAATTTCTACCACAATTTCTCATGTGCTCGCAGACCTACTCATGATTGTTTTTTGCAACCAAACCAGTATGTAGATGAGACTAGTTTATTAGCGGTCTGTGTTTGAGTTTTTGCCGATATGGCCGAGCCACCACACCGGTGTGTCGTTTTGCGAGTCTCGAGCATTCACCGTCACGTGAGATGCCTCTCTCACTACCTGCTTGTCAAATGCTCTTTTTCTGGTAGTTGGTCTGAAACACTCCGTTGTTCCCTTCCATAGATCACCCACCAATAGACCCGATGGAGTAATCATCATGATATCATATTCTGTCTGCAATGTGATGAAATGATTTCCGTCGAGTTTCCTTTTTTTGCCAGCATGGCTTAACTTCATCGGATAGGCTCTACGAAGTAGTGGTCCAAGTATTTGCCCTACATAGACGCATACTCGATATGGACTATTTCCAACCCTACACTCTACAGTCGTTCCCGCTTTTGTCTGGATTATTTCGGTACGGATACAAAGTGCCGGGTCTCTGATCTGGGACTATTGAGCCCTTTGTCGCTAAGCTACCCGTGCTCTGAATTCCAACAGTTCTGGCGGAGATTGTGTCGAAGTTGATCCACCGGATTTGCACTCTAAAACCCAGCAGTATTTTCTCCGCATACTTCAAGTGCAACACCATTTAATACACTGATCTTATGCGGCACAGTCTCTGGTTCTTTGCGATTCCATCTGTCCTGCTGGTTCATGGACCCATGTCGTCTGGTATTTTCTTAGCACCCCGCCTGGATATTCATCCGGGGCTGCACTTTATGGCTTTCCAAACTTGCAGTGCCATAGGTGGCAGAGGTTGTGTACAAAACTGCACCTTTTAACCACCTTGGTAGCTCGATACTTGCCCGTTTCCTATCACCGATATACTACGATTAACTATCTTCGTAACATATTGTGGCGAGCACGTGAGTCATTCCAAATCCAAAATCCAATTGCTAGTGTATGGGATAATGCTCCAATCAGTTCCTGTTACGGAAACGATCACTGAAAGTAGCAATTCATTCTTTTATGGCTGGTAACATGTTTCCTTTTATAAGGGGATATTCCGTTCATCGGGGCACCGAAGCGCGGAGGATCCAGTCGCCACAACTCACGCCGCCAGATTAACAATAATTAATAACGCTAAGAACATGAGGTTGAATTCAAATAGAATGTGAAGAAAATGGAAACGAGAAGGAAGTGGGGATGTAATGGGCATTAAGAACTAGATACGAGAACCCGAATGCATGACGCCACTGACTACGCGACTACACCATGTCTGATATAGTCTCCAACCATTAGTTTGGACCATAACGGGGCTCTCATTCACAAAGATGCCAAGCACTAGCCTAACCAAGTCTCTCAGTCAATTTCCTCATGCCTATGTGCCACGCAACCGGCTGGCCAACTCGCGGTCTCATCTAATTTGGTGCAGTAACGGTGCATTATGCACGCGGCGCAAGCTGAAAAACGGGCATACGGAGGACACGACCCAGCCAGTGTAAGCATTTCAGCCTAAGTAAACGCTCAAGTGACGCACTAAAACGCTTCATGCCAGAAACCAATTGGCGGTCGTCAGTATCGCTCACTCAGTGTTCCCACCAGATATGGGCAATACTCCGTTAGCGCATGTGATCAAACATGGCCAAGCGTGTAATGTATTCATTAGAACTGGCCAGCTCTCTGATCCACGCAGTAACACTGGCCTTAACGCCACGTTATACACCCTATCTTTCACTGACAGGCTGATATCCCGCCTTTCCCATAGAGAGTTGAGTCTCTGGAAAGCCACATGGGTCTTGCTTATTGAGAATTAACTTCCTCAGTGATGTGACCACCAGAGGTAACACAGCTACCAAGGTAAGTGAACAGATCCACCACTTCCATTGGCTGTTCTGTGATAACTAGAACCGGAGATGTGTCCGTCCGGTACCGCAGCAGTACTTTGCGATTTGGAGGTGCAAAGCGTAAGCCGAAGCGTGCAGCGCCAGGCGTCAGTTTGTTCAGAAATGTTTTCATAGCATTGCTTCAAAGCCATCTGGAGATGTGTCCTCTGCACGCTCAAGGTTTGTCAGTCGGTCATCTGGAAGTGAATGAAACTACGGAGTCATCCATGATCATTTCGATAACAAAGTTGAAGAGTAATGTAGATGCGGGAAAACCCTGACGAACTCAACTTGACGGGAGGAACACGCCGGAGCTTGCTGTAGACTTTTACCTGGCGTCGGAAATGACGGTGGAGAGTCTTCAGGATGGAAAGGGGTTTCCCATTCACTTCCTTCAGGGATAAGCGATGGCACAAGCTGGGATGATCTTCAGAGTCAAACGCGGCTTTTAGATCAAGCAAAACCATCACAGTCGGTCGCCTGTACTTTTCTCTGGTCTAACATTTGATGAAGAGTAAATATGCGGTCCATGCAACCATAATCAATGCGAAAGCCAACTTGGTTTTACATGATTTAGCTCTCGCGAGTGCCGGTAGGTCTTCGATACCCGTAATAGGTTAGGAGATGAATGCGTCGATGATTTTCGCACAAAGTCCTTTGACCATTTTCAAAGATAAGCACAACATTTGACAGTCGCTAGTCAGAGGGCATTAAGTTTACTCAACAAAGATTCACCTCCATATTTCAGCAAATGTGGAGAAAGGTGGTCGGATCCAAGATCCTTGTTTTGTTTAGACACGGAAAGCTCATGTCAAATCTCTTCCAAAGTGGGAGGTGTGACATCTACTTCCTACAACGACTTAGGTGTTTCAGCAAATGCCAGTCTCGCAGCATCCCTGCTGAATTGCTCTTCAGAATGTTCTGCCAAACGGGATAGTCTACGGCGCTGCGAATGGACTAACTGTCCGTCTTTTTCAGCTATCGTTCCACTTACAGAGGGCTTTCTCTGACCCGTGCTTCGGATGTGTTAGAATAGCACTCAGCTGTTTCCAATACCACTACTTTTCTCCATTTCACTGGCCTATGCAACTCATCAACATTCCCGTTGAACTCAGACACTCCTTGTCAGACGTCGTTTCAGAAAGTTACGGACACGCTGGAACTTGTTTCTGTGCTTTGAGCAAGCTGATTGATGCTTCAGAGATCCATTCGCAATTACATCTCAAGTAGGGTGCACAGCATGCATTAAAGGCACTCTTCCTGGAGTTCGGCTCACGCCCTCATTCACCATTGTCAATCGGTGAGCCAATTCATCATGTTATTGAACTGCAGACTGCGAGTTCAAGTGACAGTTGAGAAGCTTCGATGTTAGGCGCTTCAGGGAGGGCTGAGCGCCAGGAGTGCATTCGCTAGAGAATGTTCGGAATCCAGGCACCTGCTCCAAATTGACCGACATTCTTGGACTGATTTGCGTCATCTGTAGCTAATGGCTATATGGTCAATTTGGGTCCAGGGCATGTAGGAATTCGCTTGGCGCCAGGTGATTCGATACGAACGTTTGTGTCGGAAAGCGGTGCTAGTATAGAGATTGCGGTCGTCACTTAGTAACAGGAATCGATCATCATTGTCTCTTCGGCTTGCATCAACCCCGAAACGCCCCCAGATGTAGTTCCGAGTCTGAAATACCACCCTGTTGAACATTCAAGTCACCGACAACAGGTCAGTATTTCTCGCCATACGGAGAAGAGCTGAGAACTGACAGTGGAGTTCGTGTTTGAGACCCTCTGAAATGCAGTCATTTAGCGGCATAAACTGTTTGTTGAAGAGATACCGTGTTTTCAGACGGTGCTTAGTAACCCCAATGGAGGTTCGAAGTCGAACCGTGAACGCACGGTTGTTAACCGGCATCCAGTCGATTAGACTTCTTTTAGCATATTTGCTGAGAGCCATGTCGACATTGTAAATGCCTTGAGCCATTGATTCATTGTCAGCAGGGACGCGAAGTGTGTGATCATTGTCATCTGATTCGGAACCAGGAAGTCGAAGATTCTTCGCAACACTTAAATTGTACTCGTGTTACGAAGATATAGCACACATCAATGCCAAGAGAATGAAGGGTGAGTTAGTACTGCCTGTTGGCGGATCTGACCCAGAGTGCGGACGTTACAGGAACCGATGTGAAGTGAGGCCCTTAGTTTGAGGGGCGACGTACATGTATCGATGACAGCAGTCTGTTTACTTAGTGTAAATAAAGAAATAAACACTTATTCTAGGCAATGTGGGACACTTTCATCATTTCATGATCAACGTGTTACTGTTTTCTACAAAACATCGAATACAGAGTGATTTGGAAAATGTACAGATAACCTAAGTTTTTGACATACAGGTAGAAAGGAAGGACATATCAGATAAAGTCACGAAAACGGTCTAATAACTAAATATGATCATCATTAGTTTTAATTAGTTTGTAATGTAGGTAAGCGGCAGCACCAAGAAAGTGGATACCAATAATGGTCAGTAGACTCTCAGTGATTAGTGAATTTTTCTGTAGTGAATCGCTTTCGAAGTTCGCGAAATGTACTAGAGGTGTAGAGCATGGATCTAAGTTACGATCAAAATTATACGTTTGCTTTATAGGATAGTAGTAATAACGTGTGTCCTTAATTCCACCAAACTTGTCCTTTGCGTAATGATCAGGTTGGTACAAAGTGGGTGATATCGGTAAGATACTAAAAAAGTAGAAATGAAATGACAAGTAGCAAAAGTCACAACAGACGCAAGGAAAAGATGGAAGTATCGTAAGAAAGGTTATCCGTGGAACCGTCTCTTTGGGACCTGATTCCATGCGGGATAATCCCTCGAAAGGTTACATCCACACCTCCGCACACTATTTGATCGTGTGCCGTCGTGGCTTTAAAGAACACAAGCCATCACCGCTTTTACTTATATTTCTGATTGTTTTCTCCACAAACTGGCCACTCAAGCCAAGAAGAAGAGTTGTGAGGGGAGGGGAATACAAGAAGGATAGAGGGAGTACTCCCGATGAA